AAAAACTTTATGCATTGTGTACAAAGGAAGTTTTGCCCCATGCTTTGTGAACGAGATCCACATCTCAGCTATATATTGAGGTGGTAGATTGTAAATTTCCAGATCAAGAGCAATTTGGAGGAAGTCAATCCAGGGGTGTCCTCTCACAACCTGTTACCTATTAGCACCAGGCAATTTTAGTGCCAGAGACAACCTAAAATAAAGACAGGAAAAAAATCCAGTGCTGATCTTCAGGACTTTTTTCTTTTAGTCAAAATATTAGATTTAACAGTTGCAAATGTAAAAACATGTAACAACTGCCATTGACACTCAGTAACTTGTCTATTCTACTAGCCAGAAAATATCCTTCATTGTATAAAAAGGTCAAAACTCAATTCTTTTGTAACTCCCAATTCACAGTAATAAGAAACTGAGAATCAACACACCTTTAAGTCTTGAATGATAATTAACAATCTTTAAAAAGTACATTTTAAGAACAATATTGCTTTTGAACGAACTGATTTCTGTATTGAGTCATTTGCTCCCAAACCATATCATTATATAGAAATACATAGCAAATACAACACAATGACAGGGCAATCAGCACAACTAGTTTGTCACTATTCTCCCTTAATCAGCAAATAGTTCAAATCCCATTTATCATCCTGTTCTCAAATTACCTCAACTCCCTTTCTGAAATGTTAACAGTTTCTGCCTCCGATTCTCAAAGTGAATTGAGCAGCCTCTGAACTCTCCACATGAAGTAGTCGTTTCTTCTGCCTTCAATCTCTTGCATTTAGTCTTGTATTTATGGCTCCTGAACTATGATCAGTTACTAAAAAGAGACTTTGCCCCATCCTGCATAAATTTTAATACTTCCACATTTGGGATATTCCAACAGAATACTCAGGCAATATTTGCTCTTTGAGAACTATGATAGCAACACTGCATCACTAAATAGTAGTAACTGCAATGATTTTTAAAAATACTGAAAGATCCATTCTGAATCAACATTCAGGCAATGTTATTTACAGAAAACCATTAAGGATGGTTCTTAATAGGAGTAAATTGAAAAAGGGATCATTTTACTCTTTCATATGAAAAATATTTTTCATATGAAAATGGATTTAAGCTGTGTTCCAAAAAGAAACCTATTCCTAGAATGGTATTCACTTCAACTAATTTCAGCTCAGATGAAAACAAATCAATTGCAATCAGAAATCTAATGAATTCAAGTACTTGGCCGTCACATTGTTTCACTGTTGTGATATTTGAGCAGTCTAAAAATAAAGCACTATACACAAAACTAATATTAATACAGATAAAAACTGCAGTTCATTTCAAAGATAGTAGGAACTGCAGATGCTGGAGAATCTGAGATAACAAGGTGTGGAGCTGGATGAACACAGCAGGCCAAGCAGCATCATAGGAGCAGGAAGGCTGACGTTTCGGGCCTAGACCCTTCATCTGATGAAG